CACTACTGACATCTAGTGGGTAGACGCCAGGGATGTTGTCAAACATCCTGCAGTGACCCAGGGTGGGGGGTGGAGGGGGCGGGGCAGCTCCCAACAATGAAGAATTTTTCAGTCCAAAATATCAGTAGTGGTGAGATTGAAACATCCTGTTTTAGAGGTTGATACAATATAAAGAATAGACATTAACAATAATAAAAGTGACGGGGGCTTGCTTTAGAATGATGTTTCTAGGTACAGGATTTTGAGTCAAGTCCTGGGTGCAAGTACTTTCTAGCACCAGGAAACCATGAGCCATGAGGCAAGAGGCAGCTGAGAGAGCATGTATTGGAAAGAGCATGTATTTCCATATTGGAAAGAATATGGCTTTTCGGGTCAGCTAAACCTGAGCTTGGATTCTGATTCCAACACTTCAGTTTTTTATATGGAAAACGGGATTAATGCTCAACTCATGAAACCGTGGAGAGGAAACTGCTTAGCACAGTGCTGGGACACAGAAACTGCTGAAATAGTACCTGCCATTATTTCAAGGACCTCTCTTAGAGAGGAAGATACTGAGGCCCACAGAGGCAAATCAACTTGCCCAACATTATAGAACACACTGAAAGTCTGGAATAGCAGCCTGGGTCTCTAAATCCCCAGTCCTGTTGTTTATGTGGAGTAAAGGCAATAAAGTGGGAAATTCTATAACATAAATGGGCTACAGTTAATGTTCTGTAGTTGTTTTTGGCTTAAAATTTTTATAAAAGTAGTATATACTCTTTGGAAAATTAAGAAATACATAAGTGTATTTAGAAAGTGAAAGTTATGCCCATGTAGCCTCCAGAGGTAACCACCATTAACTTTTTGGAACATAGTCTCCTTTTTGTTCTCCCTAAGTATGTATGTGTATATCGAATCATACAGACACACAGAGACACAGACGTATACACCCTGTCCCATAAAATGGCTCTTCTCTTTATATTGTTTTTTTTTAATGTCAATATAGTTTGTTCTTTTCAAAAGCTACATAGTATTTTATTATTGTGCCATAAGTTATCCAAGCTCTACTGATCTATATTCAGCTTGTTCATTAGGATTCTCTTTGTTGAAATTGGAAGAATCCCAACTCAAACTAGTCTTAGCTAAAGAGGGAATTCATTGTCCCATTTAGTCATATTTGCGGAAGAGCAGGCTGCTGTTAACCTCAGAGGGTGCCTGCAACCAGAGACCTTAGTGCACTAGAAATTGCCATCTCTCCGTGTCTCATCTCTTTATTTTAGCATAAACAGCTTCATTCATAGACTAGCTTCACCTCCTGTGTGAGAGACAAAATTGGAAGTTCCAGATTCTATCCTAGCAACTTTCTGACCTAACAGGAAGTAATTCTTTTCTATCAGTTCCAGGTGAAAATAATCCTGGAGTCACAGCCCCAACAATCTTACTACCTGAAAAGAAAATGACTCTTTCCTGGACAAAGACCCTGACTGGTTCATGTTAGATTATGCATCCACCCTTCTGAAGAATTAAGGTGATATAGGATTAGTTAAGCTGAGATGAGACCTTGGGTCCACTGTTTCCCAGAGGGAAAAAAGGGAAAATCCGAGAGGAAAAAAAATCAATAGATGTTAACTGTAGGTTGTTTACAACTTTTAATGATTATAAAATGTTTCAGAGAACATTCTTATACATACATCCTTATCACTTGAAAAAATATATATATACATGTATACACACACACACACACACACACACACACACACACACACACACATACACAAAATGAGAATAGCTTTAAATTTTTTTTTTAAGTAGGCTCCACACCCAATGTGGGGCTTGAACTCATGATCCTGAGATCAAGAGTCAGATGCTTTACCGACTGAGCCACCCAGGGTCCCCTAAAAATTAAAAAAAAATTTTCTTAATGTTTATTCAGTTTGAGAGACAGAGACAGAGCACAAGTGGGGAAGGGACAGAGAGAGAGGCGGGGGAGAGAGAGAGAGAGAGAGAGAGAGAGAGAGAGAGAGAGAGAGAGAGAAAGAGAGAAAGAGAGAGAATCCAAAGCAGGCTCCAGGCTCTGAGCTGTCAGCACAGAGCCCAATGTGGGGCTCAAACTCATGAACTGTGAGATCATGACCTGAGCTGAAGTCAGCCGCTTAACTGACTGAGCCACCCAGGTACCCCTAAAAAAATTTTTAAGAGAAGTTTATGCTCATGTAGTACACACTGGTCATTTAGTATAGCCAGCAACTCTCTCTTCTTCTGCCCTAAAGTACTATTGCTTCTGCCTTCCATTATCCTTTTCCACTTTACTCCCAACTTCTGGCTGAATGGAGCTGCTGCCTTCTTACATGATCCAGTATCCCTGAATCTGGAGGTAGACAGAAGGGTAAGCACCTGGTCCAAATTAGACCAGTCATGATCTGTCATAATTCCCACTACCCTAATCACAGGGTTGGTCTGCAGTGGGTTTGTGACTGTTCAGAATCCATCCTCAGGGAAGAGCCCTTTTCCTTTTAGGTGGTGAGATTGAGAGGCTGTGCTTCTGGAAGCTGCTGGAAACCGTGACCCCTCACTATGGAGAAAGACTGTAGTAGGAGAGCATGATGCCAACATGCCCAGGGAAACATGTCCCGTCTTGCCATGGGTCAGGCTCAGTTGGTCAGCTTTTCCTTTGACTCTGTGAGCTGGCTCACTATCCATTCAATATTCCACCCAACACACTTTTTTTTTTCTTTTTGCTTATAGCAGTTTGAATTGGGTTGTTATCACATAAACTCCTCAACTAATAAATTTTTTAAAAAAAATTTTAATGTTTATTTATTTTTGAGAGAAAGAGACAGAGTGTGAGCCAGGGAGGGGCAGAGGGAGAGGGAGACACAGAATCGGAAGCAGGCTCCAGGCTCTGAGCTGTCAGCACAGAGCCTGATGCAGGTTTCGAACCCACGAACTGTGGATCATGACTTGAGCCGAAGTCAGATGTTTAACAGACTGAGCCACCCAGGCGCCCCTCAACTAATAAATGTAAGCAATTTGGAAGTGTGGGAAGTAAAAGGGTCTCCCTGTTTTAGTCTCATTCTCCTTTCCTGTCCACTCCTAGTACAATGAAATGAAAGACTTTTATAGTCAGTAAGAACTGTTAATAATATTTCAAAATAAATTCAAAAGTGTCAACATGTATTATAAGAATTTCATTACAGTATTGTTTTTGTGACATTGAACTGTAATACTTCCATGCTTTTATGTATAAACTTTTATCTATTATTATAGAACAAATATATATATATATTCTATAAACGTGCTTTTCTCTTGTATTAGGTTATTTTTATATTAATATATGTAGTTTCTTCATTTTAAAAACTACATAGTATTCTGTTATATTATTGTGCTGTTATTTAGTCTCTGTTGAGTTATATTTGGATTATTAGAATTTTCTTGGTTGAAAGTGGAAAATTCCCAACTTATATTAGTCTAATTAAAGGGAGAATTGGTTCCTGGATATAGCAGTGACCAAGCATATGAGCTCAAAGTCACATATATGCATTCATGGAAACTCTGTTTCCCCATCCATAAAGTGAGGACGATAATAGTACCTATTTCACAGTTTTGTTGTAAGGAGTAAATTAAATAATACATGGTAAGTTGCTTAGCACACGTGAACTGTTGGCTATTTTATAGAAAACTATACCTTATAAAAAGAAACAACCTGTTTTTTTGACTTCTCCCTGGCCCTGTAAGAATATATCGTGTATATTTTCCCAAATCACTACATACAGATCTATTTCATTGCATTCTATTATATGGGCATACCATAATTTATTTGTGCAATTTACTAGTGATGGACATTTAGGTTGTCATTTTATACCTTCGCAAATAATGTTGCACTACCATCTTCACACATGTATCCTTCTTTATTTGTGAAAGCATTTTGTAGGATAAACTCATGAGGCTGGAATTACTTGATTAGAAGACAGACATTTAAAATGTTTAAAGAGGCGTGTCTGGCTGGCTCAGTTGGGAGAGTGTGTGACTCTTGTTCTTGGCGTTGTGAGTTCAAGACCCACATTGGGTGCAGAGCTTACTTTAAAAATGTTGAAAGAGGCCGCAAAATTTCCTCTCTGAAAAGGTTGGTCCTATTTATGCACTTTTTGTGGTAAATGAGTGCCTGGTCTTCTTTTCACTGCCACTGTTGTGTAATAGAAGCAGTGCTGCACCAGATAGACTCAGAGTTGTATTACAGATTCAGAGTTCTTTCCACCATGTATTAAATAATTCCCTTTCCCCTTCTTAAAAATATTCTGATTATAAAA